GAAGCAGCAGTAGAGGCATGAGGACAAGACGAGGAGGGAGGAACAAGATCGAGCTCATCACCATGGCTTCCCAACAGATGATCTTGGAACGTGGAAGGAGTACAGGTAGACACTACTATATGATATGGAGGAGTGGACTGAGTTCGGATGGTTACCTTCGACGAATCTTCCTATAGCCTAACTCTTGTGTTTTTTTTCTTCTTGATGAGAAAGACTACAATACGAACTACTGGTTCGTACGACCGTGGTAACTCATGCATTCGTTTCCATTTTCCACGGGTCGCAATCTGGGTTTATAATAACAATAGATGACTAGAAACAGACTAATAAGGTTGATGCGGAATCCACCAATATGTTTACTTGCTTGAAACCGTCCACAAACACTGAGCAACGTCCGGGAGACGTTAGAATCTGGTGTCTAGCTACAGTCTTCGGACTTTTTAAAATATACCACAAATTTGCACCATATCAATGATGACATAGATGAATATCATGAAAAAAAAAACTGATGACAACGTTGAAGCAACCTGTTGGGGAAAGACGAGGAGGCTAGGGAAAACAAGAGCTCATCACTTGGTCCGAGGCCGACCACAAATCACGACGCCATGTGGCGAGGACACCACCAGACGCACCATGTGCCAGTAGGCTGGCTTAGTCAAATTGTGTTCCCATTAACTCATTAGCCATTGTTAGGCTAGCTACTTTGGTTTCTTGCGGACACAACATCGTGACATTCTCCTGCACTAAGAACTCTCTAACGACACTAATAGCTTGCGAAATTTGGGTAACCATGCAATGAATATTACTGGCAAATATATAGAGTACGCATCACAACAAAAGGAAATATCCTATCATCGACATATTGGGACATGGTAGGAACACGAAAATGGCCAGTAGCAACTTTGTTGCGAACAAAGTGAAGGCACTCTCAATGTGTTTTGTGCGTTTATGTTGAACCAGATTGCTTGAGAGGTAAATTGCACTGACATTATCACAACAGATGATCAAGGCCTTCTCAATGGGACAGTGAAGCTCAGCAAGCAGCTGGCGCGAGCAAGATATAGCTCTGCGACAACATTGGCAAAAACACGGTATTCTGCTTCTACGCTGGAACGGGAAACTATGAGCTGGAGCTTAATAAGATGACAAAGAGACAAAATTATCACCCAAGAACACTGCATAGTTTGAGGTGGAGAGGCAAGTATCTGGGCAACTAGCCCAATCAGCATCATATCAGAATAGGCCACTAGAGTAGATGTTGTGGAAGAGTAGTGTTATAGTCCAAAGTCAATTGGTGCCACGAATATATTGGAGGATCTGCTCGATCAGAGCAAGATGAGTCTCACACGGATCGTGCATATAAAGACACACCTGCTAGACAGCATAGGCAATATTTGGTCTGGTGAAAGTCAGGTAGTGCAGAGCACCAGCAAGAGCACGATATAGTCGATGCCATTAGACATGGGCACCATCACCAGAAACCTTGGCATGAGTGTCGGCAAGTGTAGTGCAAGGCTTGCAATCAAACATATAGGCCCAAGCGAGGATGTCAACCATATACTGCTGCTGAGAGAGAAAAAGTCCACTAGCACGACGGGCAACAGAAACTCCCAGGAAATTATGCAAAGGGACAAGATTCTCCATCGAGAACTCCTAGGTCAAAGCAGCAATAATGCAACAAAGTAGAGACTCAAACGAAGTAGTGAGCACAATATCATTGACATAGAGCAGTAGGTATGTCGTGTTAACACCATGGCGATAGACAAGAAGGGAAGTGTTAGACCAGGCACCAACAAACCCCATGGAGAGAATATGAGAGGCAAACCGATTGTACCACATACAGGGCACCTTCTTCAGACCAAAGAGACTTATTCAGGCGACAGACATAACCGAGGTGAGTGGAGTCGAGAAATCCAGATGTTTACTCATAATACACGGTCTCCTGCAGAGTTCTATGTAGAAAAGCATTTTTGACATCCAACTAATGAATAGGCCACTCATGAGACAATGCAACGTTAAGAACCGTTCTAACAGTCATTGGCTTAACCACTGGGCTGAAGTCGTCTCATCATAGTCAATCTCATCATAGTCAATCGAGAACTGCTCCGGTACACCTCTTTCAAAAAAAATACACGTATCTTAAACCAGCCATTTAATTAATTAACATTTTTCCTAACGTCTGGGCCAGCCCCTACGCCCCCAGCCCGTGTCCAGCCCAGATCGACCCGGACTATCTCATCCTCCGATTTCGATCTGTTCACGCGTTCAGCTGGGCGGCAATCAACGACGGCGGCGGAGCTCTACGCTTTATGTACAACGTATACTTCCGTTCTGTCATGGCATGCATTCCTCTTCCGTGTCCAACACATGTCCAGCCAATCTCATTCCTCTCAACGAGCGAGCATGGTGGTACTCGACGCCTGACGGAATGCAGAACAGTCCGCCTCCGCCATAGCTCATCACCATAGCATCCATACTTTTCCAGATCATTCAGAATTGATATAGTTATAGTGGCTTGCAGCATCATAGTACATGGACACTCTTAGGGTACAGTGCGACAAAATTACTGCACAGAGATGATACTTGCTAAATTGACGGTTCACCCTGACTCCAAATGCAATACATACATACAAGAGACAAGATCCTAAAGACAAGCATCAGTCTAGGTCATGGTCTCGGGCAAAGCGGACCTCCTCGAGGGGCAGGAGCTGGCTGCGGACATCAATCACGGCCATGACACAATTCGAAGAGGTGCTGCGCACATGAGCGCCGCTGCCGTAGACAGTCCGGACATTGAGGGCCACCGGCCAGATCAGGTCAAGAGGCTGGACGAGATCATAGTCAGGGAGCAGGAGTTCAGGTATGGGCCGGGCACGGGCTGAGCATGGTAGGGGCTGGGCTAAGACGGGACCTCAATGAAAAAATTAAGATAGTGGTTAATTAGGGTTGCCTTAAGATGCGCGCAATTTTCTAAAAGAGGTGTACCGGAGCAATTCCCTTGTCAATATTGAGGCGCTGAGTAAACCCCCAAAACAAACCCAACGTTCCTCGTACCAATCAAGAGAGCCATAAGAGGTGAACTTGCGGTGATAAACCCACTTGCCTGTAACCACATTGGCATCATGACGACGAAGAACCAGATCCCAAGTATCATTATGCTACAGAGCAGTGAACTCCTCAATCATAGCATCCCGCCAATTAGGATCGGCAAGAGCACCATGATACATCTTCTGAATGGGAGAGAGCGTCATGGCATGGAGGTTGAGCCGCTGCACCGGAAGATGAAAGCCCCACTTGCCGCGAGTGTCCATGGCATGGTCATTAACATGCGGAGTAACTAGGGCAGCCATTGGAGGAAGAGGATCGTGCGACGACAGTGCCAAGGCGAGTTTCTAGGAGCAATTAGCGTCATAGAGGTGATTGGTGGAGAGGTGGCCGTGGTGCTGTTGGCAGCAACCGGAGACGAGACGTCAACCGGAGCAGCAGATCCGACCAGATGGTGGGCGCCGGAGGTGGGTTAAGGGCCACATCCATGCTGGCAACAACTCGTGCTGACGAAGTAGCGGGGGCAGTAGGGACGGGACCTGGAATGCTGGGAGTACCTGCAGGCAAAGCTCACAAACCAATGGGTGAAATAACATAATCATCTGCGAAGAGGAAATCAAAGTCGTGGTCTGATGGATTTCAACAACGCAGAGTAGGGGAACCATATTTCATCAAAGATGACATCTCGAGAAATAATAACACAATTGGATGTGAGATCAAGGCACTTATTATAACCTTCGTGGTCTGATGGATATCCAAGAGAGACTCACAAGGTGGAACGAGGGCTGAGTTTATGCGATGTAGTGGCGAAAAGATTAGATAGCAGGCGCACGCTAATATACGCAAGTGCGAATAGTCTGGTGGGGTGTTATAAAGGGCATGGTGGGGTGTGTTGGAGGACAACATATTGGAGGGATGATGGTTAAGGAGATAGGTCATTGTGTGAAGAGCTTCAACCCAAAAGGATGGGGGAGGTTGGCCTGGAAAAGTAATGAGCACGTAATATTATTAGTGGACCGAATGAGATGCTCAAGAGCTTACCATTTTGGGAATACGTGTATGGGCACAACATACGAAGAACTACACCTTTAGTGAGAAAGAAGTATCTCATGATGTGGCGTTGTTGAAATCATGACCATTGTCATATTGGACAGATTTAATAGTGCAACCAAACTGTGTGGCAACATAAGCAAAAAATTGTGCATAGTAGGAAACGTTTCAGACATTAAATGAAGAGGGAACATCCACCACGAAGCAAATGGCTCCTTCATCCTGACGGTGGCAGGTGCGATGACAGCGCAGGCATGTAGCGGCTACTTTGTTCCTTTCCATTTCCCTTGACCGGAGCAGGGGAGGGAGGCTCAGAGGCTCATAAGAGGACATGTCTGCATCCAAGAACGAGAGCTTGTCCTGCCTTGGCCAAGAGGAGGAGCCGGTGGCGGGTGACTCATGTGTAGAGCATATGGCCACACAGCACCCAAACAACGCGGGGGGACAGAGCGGTGACAACGGTTGCTGCAAGTAGCGGTAGTGCTTGGGGGAAGGGCTTGTTGATCCCCAGAGCCCTAGGACGGAGAACCATGGAGGCCGTCCATGGGTGTGCGGCAAGGTGAAGGAAAGGAGGAGCAGAGACGTGGACACTAGGGCCACAGAGGCCACTGATGTTTTTTTTGGGGTGGGGGTGGGGGAGGGGGGAGTGGGCGTGGACGCCGGGGCCGGAGTGGCCACCGACGACGGGGGAGAGGCTCAGAATGTAAAAAACACAATTTACAAAGATGCTTGCTTTAAGTGAAGAACTACACAACAGATGATTGTTTTAAAGTGAAGAAGTATAACGGTAATGAATGTGCAAAAATGTAATTTTACAATCAATATATAATACACAAAGACGCCCATAGAACAGTGGGAGCCCATACAGCACTGATGAATGTAAATCAAGCCAACTCTTTTGAATCTTAGAGCAAGGGAGAGGATGCTGACTCGGAAGAGACCTTGGAGTGGCCACCGGTTGTCGCCGTGGTCGTGGAAGAGGAGCTCTGAACGGACAAGGCGCCAATAGCACGTCCAGTGACGGCAAACTCCGACACCGTTCTGTACATCTGCGGCGTGAGCGTCGGGAGCCTAGCGTCCTCCGACTGCAGGACGTGCATGGCCTGCTCGATGGATGGCCATTCGGTCTGGTCAGGATGGGCGCACCACAGCCCGACGACGAGCACCCTCTCCATGCACCTATCGTCGGCCTGGTTGCCGGACCTCAGCCGCTCGTCCGCCGCGTTGAGGATCGCGTTCCGGCAATAGAGGCCCCACATCCACTTGACTAGGACGAAGTGCGCACTGCCTTCCAGCAGGATGATGGGGCACCTCCCGGAAACGATCTCGAGGAGGACAATGCCGAAGCTGTAGACGTCGGAGTAGGTGCTCGGGTGGAGCGTGTTGACGAACTCTGGGTCGATGTACCCCGCCGTGCCCATCACGGCCCTGGTGGTGTGCCACCGTGCGCCGTGATCGCCAAGCCGGGCCAGGCCAAAGTCGCCGAGCCTGGTGCCGAGGGACTCATCCAGCATGATGTTGCTTGGTTTGATGTCACCGTGCACCACACACTGCTCCCAGTCCTGATGGAGATACATGCCTTGAATCCCAAGCCAAGGATAATCTGGTACCTATGTGTATGTACCTTATAAATCAATCAGTGGTTGGTAAAAAGAGATAAGCTAGCCTAAAATTCTCACAACAATCATAATCATCCAACCATTTATCAAAGTAACCATTTATGCTATTATGAAAAAAAATATAAGAAACATTCTAATTTTTTATCTAATAAATTAACCACCTCTAAAAATAACCTAAAGTAACCCTTGTTATTATATTTTTTTTTAAAATACTCCTATAATCTTCTCAATTACTCTCTTCTATCATTATTACTAATATAGAAAAAATGAACTATATGTTATGCGTGCATACGTGTCACTATGCAAATCATATACACATATGCATGAAGTGATGACCATTTCGATTTACAAGTCAAATACATAGCACCTGTGTTAAGTGTCACCATTGCATCACATATATATGCATATATATTTCTTAATTTCAAACACACATAGTTTAATTAAGCTAAAATTTCAACTAAACACATATCAAGTAAACAGACCATCAAAACGTATCAAGTAAACATGGAGATGCAATGCAAGGAGAACAAATATGGATAAAATTACATATAGAGTAATTTTGTAACTATAAATTATTACAACAAGACAAAATTTAAGGAGGATGTACCGTATTTGTATAAACCTTGTCAAATTAAAGGACCAAATATAAACAACTTCAATAACCATGGGGCCAGATATGCTGAGTTTTTTTCTTTTTGGAAAGATCCCGAACATGGCGGCATAGAAAAGAATTACATGCACAAGCAGCGTAAACAACTTTTTAGGTTTGACAGACTGTCAAGCTAGACAAAAAGAACTAAACGGACTACTCACAATCTCCACAACAACAGGTCATAACAACTTGCACCCCCCCCCCCAACCCCCCCCAACTTCTAACTTCCTAAGCCGACCTCCAAACTTTTTTTCGACACCCAGAACACCTCTGTCTACTGGCCACCGTCTTGCACTCCCCAACACTACGGCAACTCACTGACCCGGAATGATATGCTGAGTTTATCCATGAATCTTCTAGCACTTACTCTATCCGTTCCTTTGAGATTGTCGTTTTTGACTTTATTTTTTTACCAATCATAAAATAAATAAATCATTATTAAAGTATCTCTAATAATAAAATAAGTCATAACAAAACAAATAATATTTGTATAAAATTTTTTGAGTAAGACAAATGGTCAAACAAAATGGTATAAGAAGTTCAAAACGACAATCTAAATAGGATGGAGAGAGTATATATGTTGGTTATTATTACTAGTCTATCCATGCATGATAATTATTAAGGATGGTTAAATGTGTCGTTACCTTTCTGACCACGCCAAAAAGCTCTCGCTGTCGTCGCTGCTGTGGAGATGTGTGTCGAGGCTGCCTTTGGCAACCAACTCGTAGACGAGCAGGAGGCCATTGCGACGACTGTCGCACCACCCCAAGAGCCTCACAAGGTTTCGATGCTTGAGACGGCTGATGATCCTCACTTCCGCCTCGAACTCCTTCCTCCCCTGCGCCGACGACTCCGATGAGAACATCTTGATGGCCACCGGGCGCTCTTCTCCGGCAACGGCGAGCTTACCCCTGTAGACGCTTCCGAAGCCACCGCAGCCGAGCTTGCCATCTTCGGCCAAGTTGTTGGTGGCGGCCGCCAGCTCGCGGTACGCGTATCGCCTAGGGCCGCTGGCAGCCACCCCTCTCTCGAGCTCGGCCCTGCCGTGTCGTTGTTCTCCTTCACGGTCGCTGTCAATGGTTTCTTCATTTGGTGGTTTCTTGTGTCGTTTGTGCCGCCATACAAGCACGGCTGCACATGCCAAGAGAAATACTCCTAGCACAGCCGCTAGCACGGAGATTACTATCTGGGTTCGTCCTACTGACCTCGTCTTGGGATGCTGGACGATTTCAGGTGACTGATGAAGCGGCGGTGGCGGCGGTGCTTGTGCTACCTGTTCCTCCTGCAGAGTGGATATGAATGACCATGACAGTATCTGGTGCTGCTCGCCACCACCGCCAGTCGCTGCCGAGAAGCCGATAGCGACATGCTCGGGAAGGTAGCTCTTGAGATCAACAGTGGCGTTGACGTAGTAGGACGTGTCGCCGTTGATGGTGAGCTCGACGGCCAGGAACTTGGTAACATTCTCGTACCTCACGGTTGCCATCATCTTGTAACCGGACGTGAGGTTCCTGGTCGGCGAGGTGGTGTCGGTGACCGCCGTGGAGTTGAGGGAGTTGACGTCGATGGCCACGTGGTTGCCGCTGATGTCGCCGTATAGCTGCTGGTTGCGATAGGTGTCGAACTCGACGGCGACCATGGTGGTGTCGCCGGTGCCGTTGGTGGCGTAAGGAAGGAGGCCCAAGCTGCCCCCGAAGCTCCCGGGGGGCATACCAGACCCGACATGATGGCTGAGCAAGAAGGCCATCCCGCCGTCGCCGGGAGTGACGATGGTGCTCGCGTCGTCCAGAGTGATCTGGAAGTCGAAGCTCACTACCACAATAATTTTAACCGTGGCGGGCAAAAAAGGTTAACCGTGGCAGTTTTTCCGACCGCCACGGAGCTAACGTCACGGTTAATCATGTATTAACCGAGGCGGTTTGGTGCCCGCCATGGTTAAACCAATAAAAAACAAAAAAAATGAAAAACCCATCCTAGCCCTACCGGGCCTGGATCTAGGCCGGCCCCACACGTCTGCGCCGCCGGTTCCGCCGCCGCAGCCGTGGCCCATCCGCCACCGCAGCCGTGGCCCATCCGCCACCGTCGTCGCAGATCCGGCCTCCCCACCTCCAGATCCGGCTTTCGTCACCGCTACAACCGTCGCAGATCCGCCGCCGTCGCCCAGCCTCCGGATCCAGCTTCCTCGCCGCCGGATCCGGCCTCACCGCCCGCGTCAACCAAGGGAGAGAGGAAGGCGAGATGGCCGCCGCACCGGAGGGTGGAGGGCCACCGCGCCGTGGGGAGGAGGGCAGAGGTGCCTTTGCCGCCGGATCCGGAGTTGCTGCTGCTGCATCCGCCATGATCTGGGCTCCTCATCGTCGCCGCCGTCGTCGTCGCGAGGTCCACCTGCGGCCGGGTCCACGCCTTGCCCGCTCCGCCACGCGGAGCATTGCTCGCCCGCACGGATCCGGACCCCGGCCACCTGTCTCCCCGCCGCCGGAGGGAGGGGTGCCACCGCCGGAGGAGACGGGTACGCGCCGCCCGGCCGCACACCCCGCACCGTGCGGGGCCTGTGCCGCCGTGCGCCTCGCCCTGCGCCACCGCGCCGGCCGGATCCAGGAAGAGGGGCGGCGCGGTCTGGATGGGAGGGAGAGAAGTGAGGGCTGAGGGGGCTTGAGTTCGAGAGGAGTGAGGGGGCGGCTCACTAGAAACCCTAGCTTCTATTTATATATGGGTCGGAGATACCGGGCCTCGTCTGGGCCACTTGGGCCGCGGAGTTTTTTCCCAGGCGGGCCATTTAGGAGGACCGCCTCGGTTAATAGGCCTATTTATGGTGGCGGGCATTTTTAAAGTAACCACCACCGTTAATGATAACTGTGGCGGTTTCTTTATACTAACCGTGACGGTTAATGGACATTAACCGTGACGGTTTTTTATAAGAAAACCGCCACGGTTAATGCATTAACCATGCCGGTTGCTTACCGTGCAGGCCAGCCTCATGGGTATCTATTAACAGTGGCGCTTTCCATGTCAAACCGCCACGGTTAATAAAACAGAAACGCCTTCTAAAAGATTTTTTGTAGTAGTGGCTAGTGGTGAAGCTGGCCATCTCGCCGGTAGCTGCGTCCCATAGCCGCACTGGCTGCGTGTACGTGGCCCGGCCGGTGCTGTCGTTGGTCCTCCTGCTCCGCCGCGTGAGCTCAAGCGTGTCTAGAGTGAGGTACGCGTCGCCGGTGCAGTATATCAACCGATCGAGATCAGCTAGGCTTTGGGGTTGAGAGAAGCTGAGGTTGAAGGAGAGGCAGCCAGCGCGAGGGACATGGGTACAGTCGTAGAGGATGATGCACAGGACGGCGAGGAGGGAGGCACGGCAGCTCGACATCATATACGTGTACTCTATTGGAAACGTTTGCTCGATCGATGGATCTCAGAAGAGAGCTGAGGTTTATTTCCAAGGACATAATAATGATCTCTCAAGTAGAGGATGATGCTAAGGAGGCCTACGACAGCGTCTTTCACGAGGACGCCGACCCCTCACATAGAGGGGCTTTGCGGGTGCTCATGCTGGGAGAGGGCCCGAGGCGATCGGGTCGCTGCCCAAGCCGCGCGAGCCCCCGCGTCTGAACGACGGTGTTGGCTAGGTAGTTGATTAGAGAGTAATAGCTAATAATTGCCTTCTAATAGGGTGAACGGAACCGATTGTATAACAGTTTTTCCCCTAGTGTATCATCAGTGGCGTGTCGTTGTAATCCGTACTATTTTTCTTCTTAATGACAAAGACGCGCGCGTTCGAGGAAAAAAAAGTGCTGTAAGCATATAGAAATGGATGCACGTATACTAAGCTAGCTACATACTATACTAGTACACACACCGACCCCATGATGTGTGGATATGTTTCTCTGAGACGACTTCGACGACACAGTGCTATTATATTCCTTGCACCAGAAGTTACACGGCTGTCGTCGTCTCACAAAATCAGCTATTCCTTGCACCAGAAGTTACACGGCTGTCGTCGTCTCACAAAATCAGCCAGCTGGTAGTTACCATTTGATGGCTTGGTCTCGTTACAGCACAACTTGCACTACTGGAGGCGCATGCAAAGGCCCACAAACCCTCGGCAAAATCTGGGCTGTCCTCGGCAAAGACCCCTCGGAGAATTTTTAGACGGCGAAGGGGTCTTTGCGGGCACTCGGCAAAGCCTTTGTCGAGGGCCAGGACGGCCCTCGGCAAAGAAAAGAAGCCGTCAGGCGCCAGCGCCGTTGACGGTTTCTTTGTCGAGGTCCGACCCTCGGCAAAGAAATGGTTTTTTTTTTGAATTTGTTTGCCGAGGGCCGACCCTCGGCAAATAATTTTTTTTATTTTTTTTAAAAACCTTTGCCGAGGGCCTCCTCCCTGGCCCTCGGCAAAGAAATTTTCAGGATTTTTAAAAAATTCTTTGCCAAGGGCCGGCCCTCGGCAAAGAAATGGTTTTTTTTAATTTTTTTTAACCCTTTGCCGAGGGCCTGCTCCCTGGCCCTCGGCAAAGAAATTGTCAGGATTTTTTTCCAAAAAAATATTTGCCGAGGGCTATTGCTTGGGCCCTCGGCAAAGGACCCTTCTTTGCCGAGGGCCTTGGTCATTGCCCTCGGCAAAGAGGCAAAAATTTAAATTTTTTTTTTGTTTTTTGCATTCCATCGACACAAGCATTTCATATATATATATATATACATATATATATCACACAGAACCCATTTTCTCACAATATATCACAACCATAATTGTGAACCACAAATCACAATATATTACAACGATAAGTCACATGTTCATCATCATTCACATGTTTATTACGACAAGTTAATGAAATCCAAGCACAAGTCACAACCATAAATCACAAATCACGCTAAAGTCCAACCACATCACCTAGCACGAGTCCTCATCAAGCTAGCCTATGAGACGATGGTGAAGGAAAAGCAGGATCACCCGGTGACGCACTAGTAGGTTGATTGGAACCCGCGGACGGAAGCTGCACAAAGGAGCAGAGATTGCATGTGTGAGTAATCCGGGAAAACAGTTTTGGAACTTAGAGATTGCATCTAGTATTGTAGGAATACAAAAAGATTAGACTCAATTGAAAATTTCGGCAGCACCTCCCTTGCACGGGGAGGTTTCCAAAACCTGCAAGAAACGACGGCACGAACGCCGATATCCACAACGGCACGAAGGCCGACATACATGCAAAGCACAAGCGAAAAGTGAACTTTCATACTTATAGGAGTAGCTGCAGGAGTAGGAGGTGGAGGAGGTGGAGGAGCTGAAAACTGCACAGGTACACCCGATGTTTGCCCAAGACTTTGCATGATCACCATAATCTCCGCCATCTGCTTCTGCGCGGCCTCGAACGCGATCTTCTGGGCCTGCAGCTGTGCGGTCAGCTCCGCGTTCTGCTCTTGACTTTGCCTTTTTGTTTCTTGCAGCTCGGCCTGCAAAATTTCACTCCAATGTATCAGTAATGCAAATCTAATTTAGGTGTGTAAATATCTACGTACGATGAGTAAAACAGGAATTACCTAGAGTGCTTGGACCTGCTGCAGTGCTGGAGAAGGCCGTGGACGTATGGGCTGGCTGGAGCTCGTGCTCCGTGCTCGGATAGCGTCGAGGGAGGGAACAGTGGTGGAGTCGATGGCGCCGTCTGCAATCCACAGCCGCCCGTGCTTCTTGCCTCCTCCGAGCCTCATGATCGCCTCTGCATCAATAGGCTCAGTGCGCACATTGTAATCTTCACCATAGATCTCCCTTACCGTTGTTCGGGTCGGAGTACACCTGGGACGGGGCAGCAGGGTCAAAGGAGACAGAGGACGACGCCCTTCCCATGTGGGACATAGCCCACGCAGAGAACTCCGAGACCTCCTCGCCTGGGTGCGCAGCCTCCTGCGAGAAAGACGGGAAGATGGTGAGAAATCAAGCAGAATTGAGCGTCAAAATAAATGAAAGAAATCACTTACGTATGCTTGTTTGTATCCGGGGAGGCTACGGCTGCCTTGATGGTGAGTTGGACCTTGCCTCATCAGACGTTGTTCCCGCTGCCTCTCGTGCGTGTCAATAAAGTCCTGTGATAACCACTTGTCCACGATCATGGCCCAGCACTCGGGATACGATCGGCACCACCAGGGAATCACCTACAAGTCATCGAGTATTTGACATATAAGAAGATGAATTTGAACCTACTTAATATCAAAACGAATCATTATGAATGTTATTCGCCTACCTCAAGGTACTGGTTCCGGGTCAGCGTAATCCGTCTTGCTTGAGGCTTGGGGAGGGACTGCCTAAGTACCGACCTGTAGTAGTCTATGTGGGCCTGGATGCGCCCATGGTGATGCATCTCGGTGACGTACTTCCTACAAGTGCTGCGGCGGCCTTCGATCCGCCTGGGCCTCAAGTCCTTCTTCGACCTTGAAATATTTACGCATACAAAACCGATGTATCCATTCATTATTTCAATAAAAGATTTAACCAATGAATATGATG